AGTGAGAAATGCACTCCAAGAATTCCGCAATGAGCAGTGGAGCGACTTTCTGGCGCGGCTGCTTGAATCAAGTATTCCTCTCTGGAAAGTGGCGAAATCGCTCAGAAGCGAAAGGCAAGGGCAACTATCACATAATCATGGTCCTAGAGGCATAGTTTTCAGGACTGAGGATACAGTGGCGATTTTTGCTGACATCATAGAGAGGCAGTGCTCTTTCAATTATGATCTGGACAATGACCTTGACGAGGAATGACAAATTGTAGGATCTGTCAGGAGGTATTTCAGAGCAAATGGCGACAACATCAGTGCTAACATCGGTGACTCCTTTTCAGAAGATTCTTCTACGGAAGACTCTTCAGATGAATCTCAACATAGCGCATCAACGGAATCCTCTGAGATTCCGTTTTGCACACCAGCAGAGCTCCAAGGCCACATTAAGGACCTCCAGGTGCGTATAGCACCTGGAGAGGATCAAATCACCAACAAAACACTGAAGTTGATTTCGCTCAAGGCTTTGACCTATCTGGTGGCAATAATCAATGCAATGCTCAGAAGTCATTACTGTCTTAAGGCATGGAAGATCGCTGAAGTCATCATGATCCCAAAGAAGGCAGATTCGATATTCCCCTAGGATTACCGTCCCATTACCTTGCTGTCAGCTCCTTCTAAGCTCGCTGAAATGGCGATTTATCGTCACCTTGAGAATTTCTCATCAGATCACCATGTGATTCCTGACGTGTAATTCGGCTTTCGGTCTGAGCATAGTACGGAGCTACAGCCAGTTAGTCTGGTGGAGTATGTAACCAGGGGGTTTACCCTGAACAAAAGTACTGGTATCTTGCTTTTAGATGTAGCAAAGGCATTTGACAAGGTGTGGCACATGGACCTCTTGTATAAGCTCATCCAAAAGGGTTTTCCATTTTGGCTACTAAAACTGTTGAAATCTTTTCGGATCAAAATAAACAATGTGTTGTCAACGACGCGATCCGTAAGAGCCGGTGTTCCTCAGTGTCTTAGAACCAATCCTTTATTCACTTTATATACATGACATCCCTTGCCCCAGCAACTCTTAAGTCTTTCTCTATGCTGACGACACTGCACTGCTAGCCCAGTCTTGTTCTGGTAACCTGGTTCACGACCGGCTGCGGAGTGCGCTGGATGACGTATTGGAGTGGGCGGATATGTGGTTGAACAAAATTAATACTTCGAAAACACAGGCAATCTATTGTACTAAAAAACGTCGCGGTGCCCTGCCAGAGATATAAGTGAATGGAAGCAATCTGTCAGGTACCTCGGAGTCATCATTGTCAAGGGGTTAACCTGGCAGAAACATACTGCTATTTTGAAAACGAAATTCCAAATTACCTTTCGGCAGCTTTATCCTTTGTTGTGCAGAAATTCAAAATTAAGTTTGAACAACAAGATCCGGTTATATAAAATGGTCATAAGACCCGCAATCACCCAAGCATGCGCGGCTTGGTGTTTTCTTGCCAAGACGCACATGCAGAGGGTGCAAGTCCCGCAAAACAGAACCCTACCCACAATCACTAACGCCACTTGGTACGTGACAAATGAGACCATTCATAGAGATCTTGGTACCCCATATCTAAGAGATTATCGCACAGCAACCCTCTGTTGTGTGATTCAATAGATTACACAGTTGAGCAAGTTCGCAAACATACCAGGCCGTGCCTCGCACTGTGATCAAAATTAAATTGTGAATTCAGACCAGCCAAAACTATTTTTTCAGTATACAAAACCGATCAAAGTTATTTTTTGGAGTTACAAAATTATTCGAGTAGTCAAAGCAGTAATGCTTAAGCTATTTCAAATGATTTACTTCTTTTCTTTGATCTATTTCTTCCTTACCTTCTTTTCTTTCTTCCCTTTTCCCCTTAAACATGTTTGGTATCTGGGTAGCCAGACCAGACAGACTAACAGACCGTCGAGACCTTTAACTAAGAGCAAAGGTCCACCAAGCCGCTCTGACGAATAATGACAAATAGTAATAGTAGAGACCTTCAAGCCCATTCGCTGTATTTAACGGGCTCTTTTACGCAGCTACCCTATTGGTGCAGACTAGTAATACTAATAATAATAATAAATGGGCTTTATTTAGTACAAAGTACAAAAAAGGCGTTTTTCAACTTAACCTTTGAGAGAAGATAAGAAAATAATATAATAAAAAATTCAACCAATAGAGATATATGCATAATTCTCAATTATAACTAATTAACAACACAAAAAAATAGAATGAATTACAAGAATATTCCAGATTTACAGAATTATGTGTTCGTCATCAGGCCTCGGCATGGAGTTTTAGGTTAAGCCTCTTTTTAAACTTAAATAGTGAATATATTTGGAACGTAATAGGCAGATCATTATATAATTTAATAGCGTTGCAGCTAAATAATTTTTTGTAGACTGCCTTAGAATGTAAAGGTATCACTAACATATTTCTATTCCTTGTGTTCAGTTGATTTATGTCACTACATCGTGCTAACTTGTTATGCAAATATCGTGGTTTTTTGAAAGCTAACACGTTATGTGTGAGGTTCAATAAGTGGAGCTTTTGCATGCATTTAATCTACAGTATACCAGGTTCCTTAAATTTGTAAGAAATATGATCAAACTTTCGTATTCCGCAAGAAAATCTGACGCACGAATTCCGAATACGCTGTAATTTGCTTTGTTCAGTATATGATAGAGCGGGGCCAGATTTATATAGTATCCCAATAACTGATCTTTAACATAATCAATGTTTCACACAGTTTCAGCTTTACTGAAGTAGGCATTATTTGGCTATGCGGATAAAACTGCCTCAAAATGCAGTATGATGCACTACATAATAAATTTACATGTTTCTTGTATTTTAGCTCATTTTAGGAAGCCGGCTATCATATATTTCAAGGTTAATTTCCGTTTTCGCTTTTTTTTTGTGCCGAAAACCATAACTGAACATTTAGATGGAAGAATTTTTAGGTTATGAGAGCACGAGACGTCTACTAGCCTTGTCGAGATAAGTCATAAAAATTGAATGAAGAAAAATTGTAGCTAGTGCGACCTTTGTAAAAAATTAGCCAAACTATAACGGATCTGCTTTCTGATTATAACCGTGATGGGCAGTACGAATGCATCCATGAAAAAAACTTTTTGGTAATTCAGAGGCAGCATGCTGTTATTACTGAATAGAATATAATTCTAATACGCTAAGAATTGTAGTTGCATGACTAACGAGCAACCATCTTACCTTCAAGGTCTTTCGGCTTCCTCTTCCTAGGCCGCCCTTTTTGCCTAGGGGTCGCCGGCGCTCCGTTGAAGAAAGGCGGTACTTTCGCTACAGCCTCGGGAGATGGAACCACAGGTCCTGGGTGGGCGGGTCGAAAGTCACCTCCTGCCCCAAAAGGGGGCGGAACGTAATGGTGATGGGGCGGTGGTGCTGCAGCTGGTGGAAATGCCGGCATTTCGAAATGCAACCTACAGAGAACGCTACCGTCGCGCATGCCGAACTGATCGCCTTTGGTGAGCAGCGAATTGCAAGCTTCGCAGGAAAAGCAATGTACGTGGAAGACTAAGTGTTTGGCACGCATCACCAGTTCTGAAGATAGGATGGCGGCTTGGCAGCGTGCACAACGTTTCATGCCGAATAACCTGGAACAAAACGGTATACATAAATAAGAAAGAAGACTCTTGCCGTTAATTACCGTATATACAACTTCTATGTTACGAAGTACGATCGCAGTAACTCCCTCAGTAGTAATAAGGACACCATTTTTCTTTTCAAGAAAACTGTTTATTCTTAACAATGACATCTGCCTTCCAAGCAAAGTAGAGATGGCAACGTTGACACCAGGGGACGACATGCAAAACACATATAGTTGTAAGCCTAAGTGGTTGACTGTACCACGGCATACATGATGTTAAGTATGAACCATAAACACGGACCATTTTTGAGTGATTAAGACAAAAAGTTCATATAAGCATATGTCCGCAAATTATTCATTCATAAAAAAGACGGTTTTTCGTAAGTTCCTTCAATATCCTTAACTATTTTTTTTCTGTAATTTGACGGTGGTATTTATAACACTAATGAGCTAATTTAGCCTCAACTAGATTGAATTTATCAATTCCAGCGGCGTCTTGAGCGGGATCTGATTTTTAATAAGTTTGTATTACTAATTACGTAACAACAACAAATAAACAATAAATTAAATCACGTAACATTAACATCTAAGGCCCGTATCGTCAGTCGTCCCTACAATTGTAGGGCTCGTTTATGGCCTTCTTGATTTCGATAATATTACGTCTTCTTCGTTAACGCACATGTATGTCCTCCTATTGATTTCAGTCATCTAACAGTTCTGGCTTGAGGTTGTTTTGACGTTCAATTTTCATGCATATAATTATGGATCACTCAAAAATACCTCGCTACATTGAACAAATTCCACAACCTGTGGTATCTTCAAGAAATTGTTGAGTTAGGAAAATTAATGCACATGGATATATTACACTATAATATATTTGTGTGTATGAAAGTCCAGAAGCTTACAACCAAGCTATTCTCTTGATGGAGGTTGGTAAGTTGCAAAACAAATCATTGCATATCCATATTATATACTTATCGCATTATTTTCAGGTGTGATTCATTATCACAGACTTTATGAGAAGTTGGTTCCTCAGTAAAATGCTATGTTTACTTTGGAAGGATAAGGAGGTGAATGATCTTTCTAAGAAAGAATTTATGCATCCAGGCATAATTGAAGGAATCTTACAGAAACAAAACGTAAATTTGATTTATGTGACCGATATGTGCTACACTGCAATTTTTTAATTAAATCCTGGAATAAAGCTGTATGATCATAGTCATAATGATAAGAATTAACACTTACGAACTTGAAGACAAGCTGAACTAAGCAAGTATGTATAATGTGTAAAGGTTCTGAAACTGAGTCTATAGTAAATTGACAGTCATGATTGCAGGATATTAAAAAGAGCATGGCCATGTAGGAGCACCAATTATGAGACATTACAAGGTGTAAATGGGAAAATGGAGTTGCAGCAGGAAGTTAAATTCTCCATTACTTTGTACCATCATGGCAGAGAATTCCACAACTAATTACAAGAAAACTGTGGGAATCAATTCCCTGTATAAAGGTCCAGAAGCTTATAACCAAGCCGTTCTCTTGATGAAGGTTTGTAAGTTACAAAACAAATCATTGGATATTCATATTATATACTTATTGCATTATTTTCAGGTGTAATTTATTCAGACTTTACAAGAAGTTGGTTCCTCCATGGATAACAAACATATCCCGAATGCAACTGCATTGTTGATGTCAAGATGCCTGTTCACAAATCATTACTGGACTCTATGTGAAGTGTCAAGCTACAAATATGTACAATGTGTGTATGTGAACATCGTGGTTACCATTTATCACTGGTATTTCAGGATGCTTGAAATACCATATCCATATAGGATTACCAAATATGAAGTATTACAGGGAGTAAACACAGTTGTAGCATGAATTTAAATCAGAAAAACGTCATGACATAAAATTCCACAATTAATTACAAATGGAAAAATACAAGAAAATTCTGACTCATCCAGGGAACCACTTTCCTGTTAAACAAATTTCAAACACTTCAAAGGTCTAGCTAAGCAGAAAAGACCCATCATTTTGAAAAGTGTACCTCAAAGTCAGGCTAGGTTAAGCCCCAATAAGTGAGATAATAAGGTAACTGCGTTTCAGATAATTTGTCTTGTATTGTATCATATGCGACTTAACATAACTTATAAAGTTAAGTAAATTTGCTGATAATTACAGGTAGGTCTTACCTGGCTCTGAGATACAAAATTTGATTTGAATTTAAACTTCTAGGTAAAAATTGTGGTTTTAAATTATTATTTATAATTGAGTCTCCAGCTACTGAGGATACCAAAAAAATACATCAGCGGCTATAATCAGATTGATGCACTGAGCCTCAAATAACAGTATGTTGTACTTTTTAAATGTGTTGCACCATATATCAGTGTCGTAGCATATTGTATAAGGAATAAAATTAAGGAAACTTAAATTTTATTAAGAAATTCAAATCTCAATACTAAAAGTTTTTAATTGATTTGGAGCCCTAACTTAAAAGGGAAAATCTATCAAAAGTATGGCATGTGAAAGGAAAGCATTTTCGAGTTGAAAAGGAAATATCAAGAATTAAACTGGTTTGATATTTGAAACACGCATATGAAAAGCAGAGTTTATTAGTTATGATAGAAACAGCTAAAAAAATATTTGGCTCAAAAGTGTGCATTTACCTCTTGTAATACTAGGACCTGTGTTTCCTAATTTTACATGAGTGATTTGTTTAATTTCCACCAGTGATGCTATTAAGGAATTTCACCTGCTTATTTTGACAGGCAGTAATGGTATGCCACTGATGTCTCTTTTATTAAAATTTATAATCACATCTAAGCAAATTTAATAACTTGAATGTTTTTCAATCTGATGTAGGGTTTTCATAAAAATAAATACTATCTCTGAATATTGTTAATATGACAACATCACCATGCAGTGAAATAGTTTATATTTTTTGGGTAGAAATCATAGGTCTGGCGAAAAAAAATTCTTTTCAAAAATACTGTTTATACATAGTCACATTGTGATACTAACGATATTAGGATCATGCAAAGAAACAGTATTTTAATTTCATAAAATTTGCTCAGAAATCACTGATGATTTTAAGAGCAATTTTTATTTCAAGAGAAATCAGTTGCCTACTATCATTGTCTGCCAAAATAGGCAAGTGAAATTCGTACGAACGCCACTGGTGGGAATTGAGAGAATGTTGCATTAAAAATACCTCTTGATGTACATGTATGCCAAACTTTGATAAAGTATTTGAAGTGGTATTCCAGATCTTTACAAAAAATTTTATTAACTTTTGAAAAGTTTACCACTCTGTTGCTCAAAGGTCAAGAGATTTATGTTAGGATATACGTCATATGAAATATTCTTGAAATGGACTCAAAGTTACCCCCTTAAATATACATTCAATTGGAAAACACCCTGTATATTTTATGTAAGTAAATTAAAAATGAATAAAGGTTATTGTGATACACTGTTGTAGTTTTTCATTTTTGATATATTGTTTTTTGGCTACATATTCATAATTCCTGTAATTAGTTGTACCTTTTGGATTGGTGATACTTACGTTTTGACATACTATGTATGAGTTAATTAACAATGTCATGTATTATACTTTTCAGGTGGCAAGTATTTGTGGAACGTAAATAAAAGCATCATTGGTAAAATCAATGTTTTTTTAGAAATATAACTGGTTCTTTCAGAAATATATGGAAATACAGATTTCATCAATTTGTCATTCTTCTTTTCTCATAAAACAAATGTTTCATCATGATGTTAACAATACTGTATGCTACTTTCAGAATTAGAAGCTCTACAAACAAATGTGTCTTTGAGCAATGCAATTAGATCTGAAAAAATACCATTAAAAGGGTGATTTCTTACATTTTACTCCTTAGCACCTATATAACCATAAGTGTTGAAATATGTATTTCATATAGTCTTTAGTTACACCACTGGAATTTTATTTTTGTCGTTGTCATCCTTTGCTACTGTGCTTCCAATGTGTCAAGTATTTAATTACTCAGGACAATTGTTGGCCAAAGGTGGTCAATAACGGAGAAAAAAGTAATGCCTTTCTAGCAATACTCCAACTTTATCATATACGCCATTCAGTTGAATGGGTAAGAAATGCACTTTATCGAGTTCCGTGCGACATTTCAGCTATCTAACATGCAACATTAACCATTCGAGAACCAATTGCCTAGGCATAACGAAGTTCATCTTGAACTCCATAACTTTATATGCTCTTATATGCTGTATCAATATCGAACACAAAAGGTAATTTCATGTGTTTCAACATGCTGTGATTACTACAAGACTGGCTTTTTCAGCGGTGCTTGGGTGCTTCCAAGTGCCTGAATTGTTTCTCTTTTTCGCTTCTAACAACTACTGACATCCTGCCGCGAAGGAAGTTTCAGATCAGATTTAACGTTTTTTCAAGGTTCGGCCCTAGGACCAATTCCTCACTCGCTTTTTACTCAACAACTATGAATTCTACCTCTATGGTGACGACACTGCGCCAGCCAAGTACTGGCAATCTGGTTCGCGTCAAATTACAAGGTACAAAGGAAGAAGTACTAGAGTGGGCGGAACGATGGCTGATTTGATTAAAAGTAATCATTCGAAAATATAGGTATTGTAGCAGAAAACGTCGCGGGTCTCACTCGAGGTTTCGGTAGACGGTAGTCGTATACCATGAAAAACTTCTGTCATGTACACTGAGGGTCACCCATGATAAAGGCTTGCCCTGGCAAAAATATACAGCAGCATTGGAAACAAAATTCCAAATTACTTTCCGCAACCATATCCCTTGATATATAGCAAAGCAGTTTGAATAAAAGTTATTATTCTTGTCTTTTTAGTGTTTTTTTTTTCAAACAATGTTTTTATTCTTCCTGGGCAGAGTTTACAAGAATTATCCCCTTCTATAATTAGAAAATAGTTGAGAAAAAATGTATTGATGTTTCCTTACTACCACTATACTGGTGTATAATTATGGATTAAACGACTTACCTTAAGGAAGTTCAATCCAGATTATACGAGATTGGTCACATCCAAATAGAACCACCACCCCTTAACGCTGTGAGTGTGCCAGTGTTTAAGATAAACGTAATCGCTGCTACCTAGCCTCTTTCGTCCCGTAGCACTGGTCATTATACTTCGGAGCTGGATATGATCGCTAATGGGAGGGACGTCTTGTAAATGTTTTTTTTAAACTGTTTAATAAAGGGTGGGAATTTGGTTCTATTTGGAAGTGACCAATCTCGTATAATCTGGATTGAACTTCCTTAAGGTAAGTCGTTTAATGCATAATTATAATTCGATTGGTCACACCCAATTAGAACCACTATGTAGACGTTTACAGAATTTAGCGATCCAATCAAATCCCACTAAAACTTATGTTTATTTTCCAATCTAATTTCAACAATCGATTTATCATAAATCTATTTCCCAAAATATATTGGGTATATAATTATGTAATACTAGTACTTTTCAAGTAGTGGACTGTCATTGTAACTGTTACATTTATATGTATTGTGTATAATCCTAAGACTATTTGGCTAAGCTTAACGATATCATTATTGCATAATTTCTTTTATATAATTAGCAAAATATCCTCCTTTGGGTCTATTATAAAATACTGAAAATGCTTCTGACTTCTCTGACCACCCCGCTGCACTTTTGATGTTTTCAACATGTATCGCAGTTTGCAATGCTGCTGTAGATGCTGCCCAATTTAAATGGTGTGGTATTTTCATGGCCATGTTATTGTTTTGGTTGTTATGCCTTAAAGCTAGGTATTTGGCTCTTTCCATGTTTTTTGTGTATAGCCAATCGTATGTCATTGCTGGACAAACCGATACCAGATAACCTATAATTCTTGAAAATTCCCTAATCCTAATATTGTGTTTTGAATTAATTTGTGTAATAAGTTGCTTTACTTTAATTTTCTTCCTTTCTGAAATACCCATTACCATTGTCTTTGTATCGTAGGCGAACCCAGGGAACTCTGCTTTTTGTGATGGCCGGAGGCAACTTTTTTGATAATTTATGATAAAGCCCAGACTTGTCAATAATTCGCAGGTTTTTTCGATATTAGTGTGACACTGCTGTTCAGTCTTACTTATTAATAGGATATCATCTAGGTATGCAACTGACATTAGTCCATTACTACGTAGTTTCGTGAATACTGGCTTGAGAATTTTAGTTAAAACGAAAGGGGCGACTGAAAGTCCAAACGGTAAGCATAGAAACTCAAAAGTATGTCCTTGATATTCAAATCTCAAGTACCGTTTATGACTTTTATGAATTGGTATTAAATAATAAGCATCTTTGAGGTCGACGGAGGCTAAATAATTATTTTTAGAAACTAAATTCCTCACACTTCTGGAATCTTCAAGTTTAAAGTGTGGGGCACTAACGCATTTTTTTTACACTGTTTTAAATTAGGAAAGAATCTATAGCCCCCACTGGATTTTTTCCTCAAAAAATAGCATGATAGGAATTGATTTTTTGAAGGCCTTATTTTCGATTGTTCATAATGAATTGAACACAGCAACTGGCCTGCCTCTACCAGTTTTGTGAGATGAGAGGGGGTTTCATTTTCCGTTTCTTTGCCCATTGTCTCTGTTATTATAGCACCGAGGATTCCAACGCCTTTCCCCAAGTTGCC